CCTGCTGTCTCATTCTCTAAGGCCAGTGGTACTCGTAGGAGCAGGTAGAAGCAAAAGAGTGAATAGAAGGATAACACCTTTCATGGTAAACTGTACAGGCACGAAGAAAAGTGCACGAAACACACATGTTGAGTTTAACGAGTAATTTAAACGATTGCCATTTTATCCACCCAGATAAGACTGAGAGCGTTGCCAGGCCACAGAAGCTTTCTGTGTTCTCCAGATCACAATGCATTTTGACTTTTGTGATAATCTCTTCTTTGCTTTCCTTTACAGTTTTACCACCTCTATGTGGATACATGGAATATATTTGTTAGTTTTGCCTACGGTGACCTTTATATAAATGGCCTCATTTGTGTGTCATTTCATGTCTTCTTTTCCTCGGTGTTTGCAAGATTCATGAGATTCAGCCATGATTTGCATGGAGTGATGATGTGTTGAGTTTCATTGCTGTGCCTGTGACATAGTTTGTATGTACCACATTCTGTCCATTCTGCTGGGGAACAGTTGAGTTGTTTCCAGTTTGGAGCTGTCACTAACAGTTCTTTAGAGAACATTCTTGCAAACAAATCCTGTGCGCACATATACAGATAGCTCTAGGATGTGTACCTCTAGGAGTGGAATTGCTGAGTCATAGAGATACACCTTTACTAGGTGATGCCGAACAGTTTTTCCAAGTATTTGTACTAAAATACATTTCCACCAGCTGTATATAGGAGTTTTAATAGTTGCACTGCTAACACTTGGTGTTTTTAGGCATTTAAAATTTTGCTTATAGGCTGGGAATCTAGCTGTATCACGTTGTGGTTTTAATTTGCATTCCTCTAATTACTAATAAGATTGAGCACCTTTTCATATGTTGCTTAGACATTTGGATCTCCTCTTTTGTGAAGTGCCTCTTCGAGTTCATTTGCCCTTTGTTTTTAATACTGAGTTGTTTTGATTTGTGGGATTACCTGTCCTTGGGTTACATGTGTTTCGGGTGTCTTCTCCCACTCTGTACTCGTATTTTCACTTTCCAGATGATGTCTTTTGATGAGTAAGGAGTTCTTAAATTTGATGTAGTTGGATATCAATCTTTTGCCTTTTTGTTTGGAGCTTTTTGTGACTTAAGAAGTCCTTCCTCCAGCTGACAGCCAGTGCAAATCAGTGGCCCTCAGTCTCACAGACAGAGGAAAGTGAACTCCATCACCAGTCAAGTGCCAGATGAGAGTAGGGCCCTGGCCAGCACCTCAGTTGGAGCCAAGTCGAGGATCCAGCTAAGCTGTGCCAGCTTCTGATTGATGGAATGTGTGAGATTGTAAATAGTGTGTTCTCTTAAGTCACAAAGTTTGTCGTATTTATAACACAGCAATAACTAATACACTCAGCAAAGATATAGAAACTGTAAAAACACTCACATGGGTATTTTAGAACTGAAACTTAACAATGACTGAAATTTTAAGAAAGCATCACTGGGTGGACGTAGTAGCAGAATGGAGAGGACGGAGGAGTCTGAGTCAGTGGACTATAAGATCAACCAGTGGAGAATATCCATCCTGAATAATAAAGAGGAAAACACTGAAAAATAACTAACTTAGCTTTGGAAGCTTGTAGCTCAATGACAAATGGTCACATATTTGCATCATCAGATCCCAAGAAAGAGGAAAAGGAGTGTGCTGCTGGAGAAAAAAATATTTGAAAAAATAGTGGCAGAGAATCTCCCAAGTGTGGCAAAGATATAAACCTACCAATTCTAGAAGCTGAGTGAACCCCAGGAAAGATAAACCAAAAGAAATTCACGCCCAGAAACATTCTAATCAGATTGCCAAAAATGAAAGACAAAGTAAAAAAATCTTGAAAATGGCCAGAGAGAAGGGACCCATTGTATAGATGGCAAAGATACTCAAATGACTTTAGCTTTCTCATCAGGAACCCTGGGGGCCAGAAGGATGTGGTACAACATTCTTCCAGTGCAGAAAGAAAAGATCTGTCAATTGCAAATTCTATATCCAGTGAAAATATGTTCGGGGGGAAAAGGTGAAATAAAGACATTCCCAGATAAGGTAGATCTAAGAGTATTTATAGCCAGCAGATACACTTTTTAAAAATTAGTAAAGAGAGGCTTTTCAGACAGGAAGAAAACATGGAGCAGCAGAAATGAAGGACTAGCAAAAGAAGCAAAATGTCTGAGTAAATATGATGGACTGCTTTGAGTTCTTTAAAATCGTATTTGATAGCAAAAAAAAAAAAAAAATCCTTCCTGTCCCCAAATCATGAAGATATTCTCCCATATTTATTTTCTGAAAACTTTCATCGTTCTTCTTTTCATATTTGTTCTTAGAAGTCACCTGGAATTGATTTAATGCTTAGTTTGAAATAGGAGTCCTGTATCCTTTTTTCCATCTGAAGACCCACTTGTCCCAACACCATGTATTAAAATTCCGTAGTTGCCCCACTAATTTCAGTGCCTTCTTTTTACTTTGCAACTTTTAAAATGTGGTGACTTTTGGCTTCTAAAGCCTCATTGCCCATTCTTTGTCCTTTGGGTTTCTGGTTTTTTCCTTTTCCTTATTCTAATTTTTGTAGCATTTGGAAGGGAGCACAGCGCTTTCTAAAACTTTACCACATTTAACTTGAAGTCAGTTTTTAAAATCATCAATATTTAGCCTTACATGGTAAAAAAAACGGTTAGCCCAGAGACCGTGAATGCCTTGGCCAGGTTTAGCACTGTAGTTAGATGCAGTGGTAGCTGAAGGAAAGAGGGTCCATGTGTCCTGGCAGAACCATGAGGCTGACAAGTCTGAAGTACAGTTCTGAGGCAGAAACTCAAATTTTCCTGTGTGGAACGTTAACAACTCATGATGACACTTGTCTCGTGAAGAGAACGTTCAATTCGTTAAGCATCCTCTCTTTAAAAAAGTCAGGGAAATGAGGTGTAATTAGAAATTAAAGAGATTCTGTTTCTCGTTTGAAAATCGGTCTTACCACATTGTGGTTACCACGTAATTAAAACTCTTTTTAAAGAGAGCAGCTTAAAATGGTCAAAATAAGCACTTTGATTCTTAAAAGAGACCAAAAGTAACTTCATATTATGAAATACTCAAATATGTAAAATGACATACTCCATAATTGCCTCAGAGGAAAGTTAGCTTCACTCTAACTTGGTTAAGGTTAGCTGGCAGAGCCATGATTATACATAATTTCTATTTTCTGATTTTTTTTTTTAGCTCAATTTTTGTAAGTAACTAGTCTGCCTTTACTTTGAGGAAAATATATAGTAGTGATTTGAGAAGTATCTGGTTCATGGACCCTGCAGAATTTGGTCTCATTTTAATTAAATATAAGTTATGTCTGTTGGATTACTTTTATTGTATTATATACGTATTTTAAGTAATTGTGATTGTCTTAACACCTGATTATTTTGCAGTCATTTTAATTAGTTATTCCATTTAATCCTTTGACATTTCACAGCTTTTTGTAATCTCTTTGCGCAAAGAAGTCGTCGCTAGCGTATAGGGTTACAAAGGCACCTGTGTCGTGAGACACCTGTGATGAAGTAGCCTTTGGATTTGCCAGCTAGTGACTACTTACCTTTTGGTTGTTGCAGCGCTTTATTTATTGTTGTGGTTATGTCACGGGCTGTTGCAGGAATGTTAGAGTTAAGAATCTCTATTCTCTAAAGAAAGCTGATAAGCTTTGAATGAAAAGCACTGGTTTGTGCGCCAGCATATTTGAAATTTCACAAACTCCAGACATCCAGTTGATTGAGAAAAGATGGCTGATGCGCATGTGCTTTTTAAAGTCAGTAGATCTTTGAAGTGCTGTGAATGATTGTCTTCCTCTGTTTAGTTGTGAGAAAATTTCCTTCAGAGGCTCCCTGCCTGGGGAATAATTTGATGAAGATGGACTTGGGGAAGAGTCGGTTACCAAGATCCTACACGAGTAAGAACCACCAGTCAGTCCACCAGCTCTGAGTGGTTGATGGTTCAACTTCATAATCTGTACGCATTTAAAAGCTGTTTTTAGTGATCATGGGTCCTGTGATGACAAAGAGTATGAAGGGTCCCCGTTGTCTTGATTGACATTTCCAGTTAGTTGATGTTCATGCATCTTATTATTCATGCAAATCAGTAGGTAAAGATTATTTTCTTCCCTTTGCACATGAGGAAGCAGAAGCCCGTAGGTCCCACCTGGTTAGTGGCAGAGTTTGGGCACACTGCCAGGTTTATCTGACTTTAAAATCCATATCCCTTACACCAAGTTCTTGTCTCTGTGATAGAACTAGATTCCAGTTTTCTTTTCAACCTTTCTGTTGTTTGGGCCAGCAATTTAATTTCTTTTTGCTTCTTTGCTTTCTCCGTTTGTAAACTGGGCATACTCTTTACATCATTCTGTTAATTAAAAGCTGGAAGTGTTAGTTTTAAATACTTTGAGATAGTGGGAAAAACTATTGTAAGATCTTATATGTAATTAACATGATTTTATAGAATTTTTTTCTTAAGAACTTAAAGAGCTCTGTTTTTTAGTATCTGGGCATATCCCTATAGTATTGTAGAGGAAAGAG